CCAACATTTGGGAGCTCTTTTACGTTTTCGCCACAAACTCCATAAAAATTTCTTGCACATCTTATCCCCGTCCTCTAGGGCTTCTTGTGCCCACCATCTATCCCCAATTATCGCGATCGTTTTTTCGCTGTTGTCTAATTTACCAAACTTGTCCATGTCACACCCTCTCTGTCTCATTTCCTCCTCGAGATCCTCTCTTTCCTTCCTGTACAACTCACACTCCCCAACTGTGTGGGGTCTACTCTCCTCCGATTTGCCACATGGACATGTGGGGGGGGAGGGGGGGGGGTACTCATGTAAGCGCATGCAGTGTAGTCGTTGGACCATTGACCTCGCATCTCTACAATGCCGGGACGGAGTAGCATGTATGCCGGGTTTTCGCCCGCCCGGGGTAGGAGTCAGAAGCTGGTTGGTCATCCTCCTTGCGTTTGCTGTGCTAAACCAGGTATGCCATGGCGATCCATGAGGGGGTGATTGCTGGACAAAGCAAGTGGCATATATCCTCGTGTATGGGTATGTCAGATGGTGCTGCGACCCCGGCGTGGGTAGGAGAAGGGGAAGGAGAGGGAGAGCAGTTCCCGCGCTTCGTGATGTTGCTTGTTTTTAGCCGTGAATCGTTTGACCGTTGACCCCGCATCAACCCATTGGAGGACAACGGAGCACCGTTGGTGTTGTGCTGAACGTTTCTTCTCCAAGGCGTATCGAAGTCACCCCCCCCCCCGACCTTGTGTTTGCGGCAGGTGCCGGACATGACGTCGGACACAGACAGCTTCATCACCCTCCAGGTGGGGACACAAAAACCCTATAGACACAATAGTGGTGCTAATCTAGACATTTGAAAGCCTCTTGTGTCGTTATCGTGTGTTTTTTCTCTGTTGTGTTTTGGTTGCATTGATAGTGACCTTTGGGCTACGACCGACGGAAGTGATTGCGCTCCCGTTTTCGCACCCAATGACGAACCACAGCGGCTGCTACTGCGGCTAGGCTGGGAAACATATCCAGACGGACTCCCTCGACTCCGAGCTTCCCTCCACTGACGCTGGTTCTCACGTGTACCCGAAAACGCCGTCGTTTGCTTGCACCGTTCTCGTTGAGGGTGCTAACCAGAACGTAACGCCTGCCTCTCTCTCCCTTGTGGCTGACCTACCTCCCCCGATACCTTGGTCTGTTTCCTTCTCCGTACTACACAACGAACCAATCTTCACACAACACAACAAAACAATCTCTATCCAACACAACGAATCAATCTCTATCCATAGACAAAGGGTCCAGGACAAATTAGCAATGAACCCATGTGGCGTTGGGGGGGGGGGACACTACCAATGTTCCCCCGAGGAGGGATATCTCCCGTGCGGCTGACAGGCTCAACAAGGATTTTTTTTTTGTATTCAGCAAATATGTTGGATAAAGCAATACAATCGGGGAATTTGGGTTGGGGTCTGCGTACCCCCTCCCTGTGCTGTTTCCTCATTGGTTGAGGTCTGCGTACCCCCTCCCTGTGCTGTTTCCTCATTAACTTAGTTTCTCGCGAAGGCGGTCCCCCCCTGCGGCTAAAAGGAACAACAAGGATTTTTCTTCTCTTTTTTTTTTTGTTAGGGATTGTACAAGGCCAAGGCGGCGAAGGACACGGCGGCGGTGGCGGCGTTGCTGGACGAGGGGCTTGCCCGTGCCGGCAGGCCAAGGGGCAGCGTGCCGAGAGAAGAGACGGAGGCCTTCTGCAAGAACGCTAGGAAACTCTTGGTGGGATGACTGGTTACGATGTTGCTTTCCTCAACGTCGTTTTCCTCCTGGTTATTAGTGTTGGTGGTGGTGGTGGTGGTGGTGGTAGGCTGCAGTGTCTGCTGTTGTTGAGCTGTTATTGAGGTATTGATGATGCTGCTGCTGCTGCTGCTGCTGCTGGTGTTGGTGTTGGTGGTGGTGTTGCTGCTGCTGTTGCCGTTGTTGCCGTGGTGGTTGTTGATGTTGACTGGCGGTTGCACTGTCTCATCTGTTTGAGTTGTTGTTGTTTCTTGTTGAATACCCATTGTTTCTGCCGTCGCGCTGCTGCACGGGCTTTGCTTTGCTCTTGCGAGATCCCCTTCCCCCGTCTCTTCCTCGTCTTTCCGCCGCTTCTCGTGATTTGCTACAGCAGTCTCTTCGCCTGCTTGCCCGTGCTCTCTATCCCCTCTTCCGAAACCTGATACCAAGTCACTGCCCGCGTAGAATACTTGCTTCTCACGAAAACCGACTACACCTCTTCTTTTCGCGTTGCTGCTGTTGTTTTGTCTTCTTCTCGGACCCGCCAGACGATGACAACCCGGTCCATCGAAGAAGAGTATGGAAACAACACCTGCAACAAGGACGAGGTAACGCCGTATGCGTGACACACGGTGCCGCTAGACGCTGTCTTCCCGCATGCGTAGGCCCGGCACCCCTCGGTTCTAGTGGTCCTTGGGGTCTCTTGTGTGTCGCCCCTGTTTCGGTCTTTTTGGGTGCCTTGCCTTGCCTTGCCTTGCCTTGTCTGTCTACTACAGCACTAGCGTACGCCACAAAGGTCACACACGCAAGACCGCACCCGGCGGTATCTAGCGTTACGTGTCAACACACACGCAGATCCAAAATATTGCAGGGCGACGAAATTACCACACATATCTCAATTAATATCCCGGTGGTGATTTTTTTTTTGCGAAGACGAAATGTTTGATACCACCGGGAGGTGTTTTGTTGTGTGGTCTGCGGTAGTCAGCGTGCCACAACTGTCGGGAAATACCAAAATCAAAAACTATTTGTTCGGCTCTGACGCGTTCATTAAACAGGGCTACTCGTGGGACGGAAGCCCGCTAGAGCGGACTGCATCTCTCCGTCTAGAATGTTTCCACACGGGTTCCCTCTGGCCCCTGAAGCGAGCAGCAAACGATTTTCCACCTGATTGTGCATATATGCGCAGATTATGCTCCAATTGTATCACACACGAGGCGACCGACGTGTTCGGTGTGCGTGGCTCGCCTGTTGTTTACCAAAGATCGAAGTCCCTTGCGTATAGTGCCTGCCGACGGTGAAACATTTGGTTAGCCGGGATGCCCAATCACCGCAGGGCATACCTAATTTGGCACAGCAAACTCAAGAATGATGGCACTACCAACTTGTGGGGCATCCTTGTGAAACGTTGCCTGGGCCGGCGAAAACCTGGCATATCTCTCCTTCCCGGAATTTTTGGGACGCTAGGTCAAGGGTCTATCGACCATTTACGTGCGTTTACATGAGTACCCCCCCTCCCCTTGGTCAATGGTCTAAAAACTAAGGCATGCTAAACACGAGAACCCCCCCCCCCCCACCTCTTCGGACTTGATGCCTCCAGATATCGTGCGAGTTGGGAGATCCGTACGAGGTGCCAGAGCAGACGCCGATCGTCTGGTACCTTGCCTTGCGGGCGGCGGACTCCTTCAAGACCAAGAACGGACGCTACCCAGGGGAAGAGGACGACCAGGTGGGATCATGGGGGTGCCGTGGTTTCGAGGGGAATTCCGGGCACGTAGTGTGGCGGGTCGTATCCCCCCCCCCCGCACGCAGCGGTCTGATAATACTTGATGCTCATTTGCTGGGCGACGGAAACAGCAGTGCGCAAGGTCCAAACGAACGACAGAAAAACATGAAGTGCTTTGTGGAACGTCCTCGGATGTGAGCAGTTTGAGTCTTGAATGGAACGACTTGGCCGATGATTTGCGTGTTTGCTCTTGGAGGATTCAAGCGCCGAATTCTCGTCACCAAGAAGGGGGGGGGGGGGGGTGCTCGTTCTCGGTACAGTATGCCGTCCTCGCCGTGTTTGGCCGAAGCGGAGAGACCGGACTATACACACCCGCCTGAGCGAAAACGGACGCTTGGTGTGTTCGTCTTGGCTCAACAGTAGTCTACGCAGGTTTTTCAAAGTAAACAAACATACTGGATAAAGTATAGAATCGGCTATACAAGTTGGGGTTATGGTCTGCGTGCCCCCTGCCTGGTATTTTTTCGTGGTAAAGTAGCTTTCGTTGCGTAGGCAGTCCTGGCTCGAGCAGCATCGCCACTCGAATAGAAGAGCGGTCGGGCTGATTTTTGTAAAAGAAACGTGCGATCATCGCCACAGGGTTCATTCACCCCGATCCTCTCCGTTTTTGCCCTTGTCTCCATCACGTCAGGCGAGATCGTGTCGCAAAAAGGAAAACATGTTTCCTAGTGTCCTCAAGTCTTCCACTCCCGCCACCCTCACCCACGATAGAGAGGCCAGCCGCCTCACACCCTGGATGGATATGTAACATTTCTTTTGTCTTTGTGGCGGGGTGTGGGGCCCATGAAACGGATTGATTTACGTAGTCACCACCTCCGCAGCTCTTCCGTACAACAGAGTCAAGCGCGAGTGCTTATACGGGAGCTTAACTGTTTTTGTCCAGAAGGAACGGGAATGGTGCTTGGAACAGTGCTTGGAACAGTGCCCTTGTCTTTCAACGGCTCTCACCTACTGCTGTAGCAGGACAGTACGCGGTGCTTGCTTTCAGCCTTGGGGCGATGCATGGGGGCCCAACATATTGGAAGCGGACAACATATAGGTACCCCATGTAATCCTGCGATGTCTACTCTGGTGCTAACATCAATTCACAATCCACCCGTTTCCTCGTGTGCGTTCGGCACCCCCCCCCCTCCTGGCGTGCAGGTGGACGGGGACGCAGCGGCGCTGTGGAAGATCACGAAAGAGCTCTTGGGGGGGATGGGCGTAGAGACGGAGCACTTGAGCGAGAAGCACGCCCAGGAAATGTGAGAATGAGGTTGAGATGCGTGCACACGGCTGCATGTATGTGTGTGTGTGTGTTTGTGTTTTAGGCTGTCGGGAGGCCTAGAGGTAGAGGAGAGAGAGAGAGAGAGAGAGAGAGAGAAAGAGAGAGAGAGAGAGAGAGAGAGAGAAAG